GGAAAAACTGATTCCATACTTTAAATCCTTGTACAGTGTGGAGGGCTGTTGACCACAATAAACTGCAGAGTACTGGAGAGCAGGTATCTCGCGTGCAGATGGTGTTGGGGGTTTGTTTTTTCTGAGGTTGTGACTGAGTTTCACAGGGCATTTACTGGAAAATGTTTTGTTTCGCATGCAAAGATTTACTGAAATAAGTCTATAATTTGTACATATGATGAATATTTGTAAAGTGCAAGCTTAGAGAAAGACCCATTTATGATTTTATGATTATTAATTATGATATGTTTATTAATATGCTAGAACCACCTTGCAGATTAGTATAGCTCTGTGCCTATCTGTGGATGATTGGCTTGGAGGCCACATAATAAGGAGGGAAAAGCCACCCTGTATTGTGGTTGATGCCCACCACTAAGCGTGTATCCTAGATGAAATAAAAAGTGAAAAAAGTCAGTCTCCATTTTTTCTGTGGAGTTCTGGTATTTGTCATTGCCTTTAGATGTTGATCTCCAGTTTCTTCTGATTTCTAGTGCCATGTCTTCTGCCTTTCAAAGGAGATTCTTTAACAGGGAAAGAGTCTGAAAGGAAGGGGCAGATACCAGATGTAATCTCTGAGGATATGCCCTTTTCCTCACTCAGATACACCCAGGCATGTACTTTGCTAATATCCTAGGCATCTTATCAAGCCAATAAGTTTGCTCAGAGTTCTTATCATCACATGACTCCAGGTGAGAACTTTACTGTGGTGAAATAAATATGTTGAAGAAGAGAAGTTTTCAACCTGCGAGAAGGAAAAAGCATATTATGGAGAATTTACTGTGTTAACTGAGATGTTCCTGCCTCATCACAGGGAAATGATCAAGAGTGGGGTTATATTTCAGCTATCATTTTGGCACTCCTGCTACAATTAGCCTTCAGAATTTCAGTTTTCTTTGTGGCCACAGATAAAGGGACATTGCCTGTCTGAGGCAGCTAAAATATTTTCTTTTTTCATCTTCAGTCCTTTGCATAACTATTATATTATACTGGCTTCTTTAACAGATAATTATATTCCCTTTTTGGTGTGCTATTATATGATTATTGAAAAATGAGTAAATTTAGAGGTAAGGTGTAAGAAAGTCCATGTCACAAAGCCAAGTGTCTTCTTCAAATTTATGCTCTCTGTCATTAGTACAACTATTCTATTGTGTCTTGCTCTTACTTGGACCCAAGTTCTTTGGGCCTGGTGGTTTTCTCCACACAACACTGAGTGTTGATGTGCAGGAGCACACATGTGGTTTCATTTTCAGAGACAACAAATAGGAGGAGCCCACTGAGTACAGTAAGAAGCTGTACTTGGAAAGCTACTAGCAAATCGTGCCGCAGTACACTGACAAAGGCTAGGTCAAGTCAACATTGTGGGAGGAAGCTTTTGGTTAGAGTTTATCATTTGGGCTCTACTTAAGTAGGTAGTGTTCTTATTTCTCTTGTCCTAGTAGGTAGGAAATGGAGTAGCCTTGCATCATGAGGAAGTGTCTGTATGAACTGTCAAGCAGGCACTTTGGCCAGAGAACAGGGTTTCTCCTGTATCAGGCACTTAAGTTAGAAGCTCCCAGAGTATTGCTGAGACACATAAGCTGGCTCAGCCTGACTTTCTCTACGAGTGCTATTGACTGGTTGTATGAGAAGGACCCTTGTAGACCCTCTACACAAAATGGTGATTGTGTGGTCCAAATGATGCAAGATGTATGGGAGTTGTGGTGGAGGTATAAGGTCTAGTAGGAAGTGGACAGAACTAGCCTTGGCATGGCCTGGGCCTCTACATCAGTCAAGGAGTCTTTGTTCCTCTATGTCATTTGTCACTGGTGTACATTTGGCCCTTTCTGCTTCTTTAGATGAGCGCAAGACTTCTGCTTGGACCTAAGCTTCCTGACTTTACCCTGCCTTTGTCAACTCTACCTGCAGCCCCACTTTTCACCATGCTGAAAAGAGAGCAGGAGTGCCAAGATGTGACTCCTGACTCCTGTGTGAAGTTTCCATTGGGTGTGGCTCTAATGTGTTGGGTGCCCTGTTTTGTTTTGTTGTTGTTGTTGTTTTGCTTTCTCAACAGCAGATCGAGCATTATGGTTTACATCTAAAATGTACCCCCAAAGTCTCATGAGTTTAAAGGTTGACTGGATTTTGAGGGCCCTGTCCTCATCAGTGGATTCAAATACAGATGAGTTCTGTATTTGAATGAGCTATTAGGAGATGGAGTATTATTAAAAATGGCACTAGACAATAGGGACATGACCTAGAAAAGTGTATTTTTGTATGCAGGTCTGCCTATGTTTCGCTTTCTCCAGCTGCCATGGTTTAAATATCTTTTTCCCTGCCTTACCACTTTGCCATCTTGTTATTATGGTGGAGCCAGCCAAACATCAACTGAAACTTTATGAGCAAAAATGTATCTCTCTTCCTTTAAGCTGTGTGTTGTGTATTATCCCTGAAATAGGAAATAGGACAATTAGTGATGCTAACTTTGATAATTTTGATAAGGCCCACAAGTTGTATTCTGAACTGTGGGCTTCATTGTGATGAAAGTCAATTCCAAAATTTCAGATGCTTCCCCACATTGTCAAAAATCATTATGAAGTGTTCATAAGGACCTTGGAAATAAGAAGAAATGTTTAACATGCCTGTGATGAGGCTCAGTACTGGGCATTGGCCAAGCCTGCTTAAACTCTTGTGTTATACTCACAGCAATTAAATAAGTAAGTAAAATGGGTAGGCTTCTATGGATGGCTTGCAGACATTGTTTTTAAAAAATGACATACTGAATGAGGTAGGACTTTGTGTGAAAGCAGTGTAACAGTAGGGAGAAAACCCTAAGTGTAGGCCTGCAAGCACATCAGTAATTAGGCATAAAGAGTTTTCTGTGTAGGGAGGAGCAAAGGAAAGAAGACAAAATGTGGGAAGGTAGGATGGAGGGTGGCAAAAATCAATTCATGAGCCAGTTGTTTTCCTCTGAAAAGGTTCTTACTGTGACACTAGAGGGGTTATATGTTGGCTCAGTTTAAAAGTGGGTCAAAGGTTATATAGATTTGAAAGAGGTTTAGAAAAAGATACACAAATATTGGGATGCTGCTAAGTTCACTTAATCATTTTTGAGGAAAATTGGAAATTTTCTTTGTTTTGAATTAAAAATTGAGTACACAGCATCATCTGTGTGTAATGGGAAGGGTGTTACTCAAGGTTGGAAAAGATTACAGGGTATTTTTTGCTGTACTGATGATCGACCCAGGACTTTCACTCCAAGATACCTCCAGCCCTTTCAAATTTTTAGTGTTATCTTTATAAACTCTTGACAGGACAGTGTTGTACAAGCTGGGGTTGAACTTATCATCTTGCCTCAGCCTCCCAGAGTGGTTTTGATCACAGGTTTACATTACCAAGTCCAGCGAGGGTAAAGGTTTTATCATCACTCTATGTATCAAGATCTCAGTGTTTGGTTAAATTATACATCATCAACCATTTGTTTCATTTCGAGAAAGTTTTAATTTTTGTTCGTTGAGAATACATGGGCCAGTCTGAAAGTAATTATGGGAATATTCCTACTCTGGACACTTGTCTGTGAGTTTAAAATTAGTTGTATAATATATATACATACATACATTATACATACATATACATTATATTATACATTATACATATATACACTATACACACACACACACACACACACACACACACACACACACATATTGTTCTTCCACACTTTGTCTGGCAGTTTCTTTCAAGATCATGGCTCTTGTTTAATATTTGATGTTTTCTCTTGGTTTAGATATATTTTCGTCATTTTTAAGATTTGTATTCATTTTTACTTGTATACAAAATCTTTATCTTGTATACACTGCACTATTGTCTTGCTTACCTCCCAAGATTTTTATAGATTTTAATTTCTCTTTGTTATTCTGACAGCTTCTTGATTTTCTTCTGAGGGAACATTCTTTTCACATATAAAACATATTTCCCTATGAATTCTCAATGTGTTCAAGTTTATATTTCCCATTTTAATATGTAATTTAGTTATTGTTCATAGAAGACTATACAGTATATGCTGATTTCGTAGTACTTCTATGGTTCTCCTTGATCATATATGAAACAGACTGTAGTTTCTTCCAAGGTTGTCCTGAATCAATGTCTTATTTACATGTGGACCCACTGAAGATTGCCATCTTTCCTGTGATTCACTTCTCATTCCCTCTCATAATACAATATTGTCATGAAGAGTAGATTTTGAATGTCTTTTACATACATTACACAAGCTGTCACCTTGTTTACAAGGTATTGAACATCGTTAGGCTTTTATTACACTAAACAGCTGTAATTTTTGATAAATAAAAAGTATGATTTGTGACAGGTTTTTTTTGAAGCTTTTATTATTAGTGCCTAATAACTAAAAAATATATGAGTGGTTACCACTTGGTGTTACTGAGCTATAAGATAATATGCTATCTTCCCCTAATTTCAACGTCCTTAGACATACTCCAATAAAACTTATTTTTCCATTTTTATAGCTCATATGCTTTTATTTTTTTGAACTGTTTTTCATTGGCATTTTTAATTATTACTCATAATCTTAATGTTCAATTACGTTTTTTTCTACAAATCCAAACTCAAGTTTCAAAGTTCTAAGTACAGTGACTCAATTCAATTCCAGAAAAATAAAATTTGAAGTGATATTATTTAGTCTATTAAAACATTTCATTAGACATTCATTTGCCTTAGTGTATTATATAGCTGAGGTGATGCAGCAGGATAATCTGCACTCCTATTCTTCTGTTGCTTTAGCAATGAATTGCAATGCTGTGTGCAATAATGTTCATATGAATGGAGAGTAAGGGTTTGGTGATCAAGACATGGAGTTAATATTTGAGGGATTCAACCTTAATTCAGATTTTTATGAATGCAGTTGAGATGTTCCTGACCATGAGTCTCAATTTTCTTCCTTAAAATACTGTATATTTGTAATTATTTAGGAGGCAGTGACCTTTGAGGATGTGACTGTAACCTTCACCATAAATGAGTGGGTTTTGCTGAATCCATCCCAAAAGAAGCTCTACAGAGATGTTATGTGGGAAACCTTTAGAAACATGGCTGATATAGGTAAGGATGACATTATCTTTTCTTTTCTCTCTCTCTTTTTTTTAAATTGGTAACGGGGATTGACCTCGGGACCTTGGCTTGCGAGGCAGGTGGCAGAACCGCTGAGCTAAATCTCCAGCCCAGGATGACATCATTTTCTAATTTGTACACTCTCGAATTGGTTTTTGCCCACTGGTGCAGTTTCATTAATTAGAATATGAAAACATTTTGATGATTATCTAGACCTGGTAACTTTATACCATGAATCTGACTGGAATCTATAATTTTTATGTAATAATATATTGATTCATTATATTTCTGTATCTACAATTCAGGAAGAAGCTGGATGAATCCGCAAATTAAAGAAGTATATAAAAATTTTTGGAGCAATCTAAGGTAATTTGTACTTACAAGATAAAAGAATGTTCCTCAAGAGTCAGAGTGAGCAGAATATTAAAACCAAGCTAACAGTTCAAATGATACCATATTCAAATTTATTTAATTTCACAAACATTCTGAAAATATGTATACAGCTTGAGTACCTATAATCTGACATTTGAATATCTGAAATCCAATTTTGGAAAGTCAAGTGTACTGATTTATGCAATAAATGACACTATCTGATATATCAGTGTATAAAAATGTTTCTTCTATGATCCACATCATGAAAATGTATGAAATTGCATTTAGACATTAGGTATATGCATATATAAAATGAGTAAATTTTGTGCTTTGATGGGTACCCAGCTTCAGGATATTTATGTATACATGTGTATACAAGACATTCATTATGTACAAAATTGCTGTCCTTGTGGCAGTATTCAAAATTCAAATAAATAGTAGTGTTTGATAAAAGCTGTTTTTTAGCCACAGATTGAGTCCATTTATGTTTTCAAATTCTTAGAAGTCATTCTTCTACATTGTTGATGGGAATGTAAAGTACAACCACTTTAAAAGTCAATTATTTAGATGTTTCAAAAGTAAAAATAGAAATTCTATTTGATACAGCTATCCATCTCCTGGGTGTATTCCCCCAGGAAAAAGAGTTAAAATTATAGTGATACATGCATACAAATGATCAAAGCAGCATAGTTTTCAATAGCTAAGTTCTAGAAATAGCCTAGATGTACACCAGTTAAATGCTTATATAAAGAAAATTTTGGATAGGTGCATGCTTATAAACCCAGCATGCTGGGAAACACAGGCAGGAGGATGACAAGTTGAAGCTCAGCCAGGGCTATTTAATAATTGATAAGAAACTTTCACAAGTGCTGGGGAATTAGCTCAGTGATTCCTCTACCTGCCTCGCAAGTGCAAGGACCAGAGTTCGATCCCAGGTACCAAAAAAAAAAAAAAAAAAACCCTTTCACAAAATAAATTTTAAAAGTTGAAGGTATAATTCAGCACTAAGACCATGCATTTTATTCTCAGCACAGGAAGAAAAAAAATAAAAAAGAAATCGTGCCACCTATTCAGCCATATAAAGTATGAAATCACCATCCCATGAAGTGAAACAATTGTCTTAGAAACTCAGTAATAATAATGTGATCCTTTTTAATTGACTTTTTTAACAGAAGTGAAGAGGTAGAAAAATATTATGAATGTAAAGATTGGAATCAACATGAAGAAATATTCCTCTGGACTCCAGATTCTAATGTGAACATTAAAAAAACAGGTTTCAAACAAGCTGAAAGCCTTCCTTGTAGAAGGCCCCTGACTGATCATGTATCACTAACTGTACCCACTATAGCTCACACAGGACTGAAACCGTATGAGTGTGAGAGAATCAAAGAGAAGTTGCATAAATGTAACGAACATGGGAAAACCTTCACTGAATTCCAGTTCTTTCAAAAGCATGAAAGTATAAACCCTACAGAGAAACCATGTGAACATATGCAATGTAAGAAAACCTACTGTGATTCCAGTGAAAGAACTCATGCTGGGAAAAAGCCCCTTGTGTATAAGAAAGGTGTAAAAGCCTCCAGAACATGCAATTATGTTCAGCTTCATGAAAGAAATCACAGTGGAGTGAGTCCCTATGTATGTAAACAATGTGGAAAAGCTTTTATTTCTTTCCACTCTATTCAAATACATGAAAAAACACACACTAGAGAGAAGGCCTATGTATGTAAGGAATGTGGGAAAGCATTTGCTCATTGTAATTCCTTTTGCAAACATAAAAGAATTCACACTGGGGAAAAACCCTATGTATGTAAATTGTGTGGGAAAACTTTCAGCAGATACTATGATTGTCAAATACATGAAAGAAATCACACTGGGGAGAAACCCTATATATGTAAGCAATGTGGAAAAGCCTTTAGTACACACAGTAATTGTCAAAAACATGAAAGAAGGCATACTGGGGAGAAACCTCATGTATGTAAGCAGTGTGGGAAAGCATTCAGCACACACAGTCATTGTCAGAAACATGAGCAAAATCAGACTCGTGAGAAAACCTATAGATGTAAGCAATGTGAGAAAACCTTCTGTTCTAAGTGTTTATTATGTGAACATAAAAAATCTCACACTGCAGAGAAACCCTATATCTGTAAGCAATGTGGGAAAGCCTTTAGCAGACATTATGATTGTCAAATACATGAAAGAAGCCACAATGGAGAAAAACCCTATGTATGTAAGCAGTGTGGGAAAGCTTTTACCACACAAGGTCACTGTCAAAGGCATGAAAGAACTCACACTGGGGAGAAACCTTATATATGTAAGCAATGTGGGAAAGCCTTCAGCAGACAAGGTACTTGTCAAATACATGAAAGAATTCACACTGGGGAGAAACCTTATATATGTAAGCAATGTGGGAAAGCCTTCAGCAGACAAGGTACTTGTCAAATACATGAAAGAATTCACACTGGGGAGAAACCTTATATATGTAAGCAATGTGGGAAAGCCTTCAGCAGACAAGGTACTTGTCAAATACATGAAAGAATTCACACTGGGGAGAAACCTTATATATGTAAGCAATGTGGGAAAGCCTTCAGCAGACAAGGTACTTGTCAAATACATGAAAGAATTCACACTGGGGATAAGCCTTACGTATGTAAGCAGTGTGGAAAAGCTTTCAGCAGGCATAGTGATTGTGAAATACATAAAAGAACTCACACTGGGGAGAAACCCTATGTGTGTAAGCAGTGTGGGAAAGCATTTGCTGATAACAGTTCATTTTATAGACATAAAAGAACTCACACTGGGGAGAAACCTTATACATGTAAACAGTGTGAGAAAGCATTCAGTACACGCAATGATTGTCAAATTCATGAAAGAAGTCACAAAGGGGAAAAACCCTACATATGTAAGCAATGTGGGAAAGCATTCACTACAAACAAGTATTGTCAAATACATGAAAGACGTCACACTGGGGTGAAATTCTAGGTAGGCAAGCCTATTTTGAAAATCCTGTAAAGTGTTCTCATATAATGGAGACTTGTAGAAATAAGTAATATAAAATATTTGATGTCAATTATATCAATGTAATTTTGCTCACTTTGTTTCACACAGAGACAGTATATGCATAAAATTTTGTTTTAACCTTCAGATTGTTACTTTTCATGTTTATATTTTCATAACTTTCAATTTGGTGATAATTTTCCCACTGATTGTACCAAAAAATTAACCATACTGTTCTGAGTGCCCCATTGCCACAAACCAGCAGGACCCTGTTTTTCAAATAGTATATCTTGAATTATAGTATTATATCAGTCCAAACAGTATAAATTATGCTGTAAATTGTCAGCAACAATATTTTCAAAGGAATTTTTGTCAGCATTGGAATGGTTTTGAGGAGAATGGTTGCTGTTGGATGTAATGAGACAGATGCCTTTATTCTCTAATGTTGTGAATGCTATTCTACCTTTGGTAATCATTTTTTGCCTAAAAACCTGAAATAATGAAGAAAAGCCTAATTCATGAGAGGTATCAGTCAGTCTAGTAAAGAAAATTTACAAATTTGATTCAGATTTTACTTGTTTTAGATATAAATTTATATCATTTTCTCATGATGTGATTAACTTACGGTAACATAAAAACATGAGCAATGCATTAATTATCCCTAATGCAGTGAGCATTATACTAGCTTGTCCTGGCCTTAATTATGCTCAGGCACGTAATTAGTCATGAACTGAGTAATATTATCTAAACTTAGGTCTGTTTTATAACAACACATGAAGTATCTGATGTAATTCATGGAATATAATGCATCGTAGAGAATACTTTTGATTTTTACATACTGAAACATGTCTAACTTCATTGCAGTGCACTTCTGCTTCTTACTATCACCAGGAAGATAGGTAGTTTCGATTGCTATTGGTTTTCCAAGCCATGATGGAATGTTTAAAATAGAAGACACTATCCAGAGCAAATTAACATTTCCACTGCTTTATCACCAATAAAATCTTGCTGGTGCTGGTGGTACATTCCTACCCACTCGGGACAGGTGAGAAGAAAATAAAATTGAGGCCAGCCTAGACAACTTAGTGAGACACTGTCTCAAAATAAAAATATGAAAAAATAAATAAAAATATGAACGGTCTAATGATAAAGCTCAATGCTTTAGTACTCCTTGGTTTTATTTCACAGTACCAAATTATTTTAATATCATATCCATGTTTGTCCTTTTTTCACTTAACCTATAAAAGTCCAAGCCATGGGCGGGGGATTTAGCTCAGTGGTGCCACACTTGCCTTCTAAGCACAAGGTCCTGAATTCAATCCCCATAAAAAAAGAAAAAAAAGTACAAGCCAATTGTTCTGATGCACCTGAGCCAGGATGGTCATGAATTTGAAGCCAGCCTGGGTAACTTAGATCTCTTTGCAAACTATACATTTGTTCTCTTTATATCTGCATTTTAAGTTAAAGGAAACAAGTTTAGGTTCTGACCTAAACCTAGGATCAGATACAAAAAACAACTATCTCAAATTAAGATTTCATTGCTCAGGAAATATTTTCATTGTAGTATTTGTGTAACACTCATATGCCTGCATCACTTTTTAAAAAAGTGAACAGTGAAGCAAGAGTAAGCTACTTGTTCCATGTTCTGAATACAGAGGCATGGAAATACTACATTTTTCATTGCTGTTATTGGTTTGTTAGAAAATAAGGTAGGATATCAAAAACAATGGGATTATATCAAAAGAATGCCACACAGTGAAGAAATAACCTACATAATGGAAAAACACTGCCAACTACTCAAGAGAACTAATATCTACTATATACAAAGGCCTCAAAAAAATACTTCCAATAATAAAAGACCCAATTGGAAAAAGTAGGCTATAGAAATATACTTCTCAGAAGAAGTACAGATTGCCGCTAAATACCTTTAAAAAAATGTTCAGCATCTTTGGCCAGTAAAGTAAATTGAAATAAAATTTTACCCCAGAAAGAACAGTTAACATCAAGAACTAAAAAACAGATTCATGAACCTGTGGGGGAAAACAACCATTCTAGTGTTGGTGGGAACATAAACTAGTTCAGCCACTAACAGAAGTTAGAAACTTGTAACTCCATTCAGTAGAACGATTCCTGAGTGTCTCAAAAGATTTAAAGACATATTTCAGTGACCTGGACAAATCAAAATTTATAGCAGCACAACTCATACTAGCTGAAACTTAGAAATGATCTATATGCCTATCAACAGAGAAATGGAAAGAAATGTATATATAGACAGTGGAGTACCCCACCTTAAATAAGAGTAAATTTGAGTCATTTGTAGAAAAATTTATTTCAGCCCATGATTACTGGTTCTACTGCCTTTGAACCTACAGGGAAGGAACATGGTGGAAAAAACTTCATTTCATAGCACCATTGATAAATTGAGAGTTCTAATCATCGAACAACTTCCTTAAAGACCATCAGTGGTCAAATAACTCTATGGCACATTAATTTGTAGGGGACATTTAAAACAATAACTTACATTGATTGAGGTGCACAGTGAGACCTTAACAGTTTGAGACAATTCCGCATTCAGTGGGGCAGTAGGAATAGTTGAAATACTCAATGTGAGACATGTTTAATGCCTTTTTGTGGCAACAGCTGAATGCATGTTTTACTTATCTACAAAGACCTCAATCTCAATTTGATGTCTCTGGGTATCACTTTGATATATATAAACTCAGTAGATCTTACAGAAAAGCTGGAAAAAATAATTACTTTACGGTTTACTAAAAAACAACCAAAATCTGTGCTTTTCAGGATTGTGTAGTTTTGTCCATGTGTTTATTAACATATCATGTAATTGTTAGTGTTGCACTGCATGGCTCCTGTACTCCCAAGATTTCCTTCATCTTACAGAGAAAGACAGCTCAGAGAACCCAGGCCTTTCCCAAACCCACATGCTTTATAGTGATCACATAGACACATTTGCATGTTGACTCAGATCCATCACAAATGTGAAACTCAGACCTATATAAAAAAGACCGATTAAATAATTACTTAGGATCATGGAAGATATAACTAAACAGATAATAGAAGTAAAGTAGTAACCACAATGATCCAGGAGCTTTCAGAAGCTAGATGAGCTAATCAAAATGATATAAAACATGAATGACCAGTTTAGCATGAGAGGTATCAGTCATGAAAAAGTTTCTATCAGATCTAGGAGATTAAAAATTATGGTGAAAGTATATCCAGTAGAAATGACCAATGTGAGGACAGAATTTCAGGGCTAGAATACAATGATGCTTTCAAGAACCCACTACTTAATGACAACAACATAATATGAAAAATAAATTCAACAGTTTCTAGATGACACAAGGACTACAAGTAAAAAATTAGAAGTCAATACAAATGGTATTTTTTAAAAAATCTGTTCAAAGAAATGGCAGAAAACTCCCCAAATATAGCAACAGAAATATATGTACAGATAAGTAAGGAATATAGAACCCTGAATAGCCCAAACCAAAAGAGAATCTCTATGCACTATGCTACACTCAAAGTACCAGAAGCCCATCACAGGGACAAAATTTTAAAAGCTGTTACAGCAAGGCAAAAAATCATAAAGGTAAACCCATTAGAATTACATCAGAGTTTTCAATATAAAATCCAGAAGGGATTGAAGTGTTTCAAGCCCTAAAAATAACTTCCAACGCCACCTTTTGCATCCTTCAAAACTGATAAATATTTTCACAACAAGGACCACCTCAAGAAAGTCACACTAGAAAACCATCATTACAACAAAGAAGGAGACTGTTAGGTGAAAAGAGCAGAAAATCAGGACCATAACAAGCCTTTATTCTGAGAAAGATATGCTGGGCTGACTCTGAACAAAGGAGAGAGAGCAACGTGGCAGAAGAGGGAGCTTCTTTTATAGGAACGGTGGGGAAAAAGCCTGAGCTGGGTTAGAGTTGAGTGAAGTAATATTAAGGCATTGGAGGAGCTTGTGACATCACTAGTTACTAGGAGGTAGCAAGTATCAGATTTCCTTTCTTGCTGGGAAGAGGGGCATATTGGGAAGAAGACTGTCTTTTGGTGGGAGAAGTCATATTTTTACATGGCGTAATGGGAAGGAGGCAGCTATTCCATGTGGCAGCCATTTTAAGGTGCAGAGCATTATGGGAAGGAGGAGGCTACTTTATGCTATTTTATGTAGTAGCCATCTTAAGGGAAGGGAAGTCTAATGGACAATAAGGCCAATAATACCAATAATTTTTTAAAAACAAATACACCTTGGTGGGGTGACCAATTAAGCAAAAGACAAAAAAAAAAAAAAATCAGCTATGGGAAAATGGCATGATAGGCATAAGTCAGTATGTCTCAGTCATAACTCTCCATGTGAGTGGTCGCAATTACCCAAACACTGACAAAATGGATCAAGAAAAAACACAAAGATATGCAGTATACCAGAAACATTTAATTAAAATGAAATTCACAGATTTAAAATCAAGGGATAGATAACATTCTATGCAAGAGGAACCCAGAAAAAAAAAATCAAGAGTAGCTATCTTAATTTCAGACAGTGTTTTTCAAGTAAAAAATGATCATAAGAGACAACAGTCACTACTTCTTGGTTAAAGGAGCAATACAACAGGAAGAGATAACAATCATATATGCACCAAATAGTAGGGCACCCAACTTCATAAAATAAGCACTGATAGACATAAGAAGTCAGATAAACACCATTACAATTGTAATGGAGGACACTGATACCCCATTAACACAAATGGACAGTATTACACAAAAGAAATCCACAGAACTGAAATTACCCTTCAAAGAAATGGATCTACTAGACATCCACAGAGTATTCCACTCCAAAGTAACAGAATACACATTCTTCTCAGCAGCACATTAGACTTTCTCCAAAATAGACCACAAGAGTTTGCAGAAAATGGTGGAACAGTAATGCCACCAGCACATTTTCCCAGGATAAAGAGCCTGATATCTGGAAATCATCAACCTGAAGCCCCTCAAAAAGGGTGCAGAGGGCATGTGAGAACATCAAGGGAATGCACAGATGAGAATAAAATAGGATCCCATACTACAGAAGAATTAGATTAATCACAGAGAACAGATACTTGACCCAGCAAATCCATGGTGAACCCACCCAGTGGGGATCTGAGAAAACAACTCAATCACTCACTGAGAAACAGAGTTCCTGAAACAGGAAAGGCCTGTACAGCCAGAGGCAATGGCAAAAATGCCAGACAACATTCCCCCAAAGACCCACCCCAGAGGAAAACTGATAAGGGAAGCTACTGCTATTAGCAACCAGAAAGTGGTCACCATTTGGGGCACAAGGGCACACTTGAATTCCTACAGTCCAAAGGTGCTGCATACCTCCAAGATCACACTGCAGTCCAGAAAGAAATCAGGGAAAAACCACCCAGAAACAGTGGACTAGGACTGCTGGCAGCTAGTCAGCAGACTGAGGGAATTTAAATGGGAAATTAGAAATCCAGTTCACCCAAAGTGAATGGCAACAAGGTCATGCACACCATTTGGGTAGAGGAACCCCCCCATCACTTTTTTGCTTTTGGTCCCTTCTCTCAGGGCCACTTTGCTGCCCTGAGATAAAGAAGGGAAGAGACAGCCAGCTACACTGGACTGCTGGCTGCTGGTCAACAGATCAAAAAAATCTATGCTGTGAAATAGAGAACATGCCCAGCCAAACTCTGCTCTTAAATCAATCCAAAGGGCTAGAGATACCCACTCTCCTCTGAGACCAGATACAGGGACAAACAAGAAGCCTTAGCTGGTGACAGGAAGAGAACACAACCCCCTCCCTTGCACTAGGATAGTGGACACAAGCAAAAGGCACCACAGTGGCTGAGAGTGCTGTGCAGACAGGATCACAGAAGAGAGACTTGGGCAAGAGACATACAGAAGACTGTTGATTAAGGAAAGACCC